AATGCACAGGCATTTCAAAAGTCAGTTGTCTCTTCTGCTGAGATGAGACTTAAGATGAAGAACAGTGATAAAAATAAAACCCAGTTTTATCGAAAGTGCATGCCTGTTCTATGTATCTAAACTGTCGTCTCAATTTGGCGAAGTGCCCAAAAAGGCACGCGAGGTTCCAGTCTGAGTGAGGAGAAGAGACAGCTGGGCAGAAATTTTGGAAGAACATGGAGGATTTTCTCACAAAATGTGACAAAGAATCAGGAAGGTATAATCAAAAAAGTTAAGAGGAGATAAGTTTGAATCCAGAGATGAAAAATGGAGTATCATGAAATCAAGAGAAATTTTAATTTGTTAGTGCGAGTTAAAAGGACCATTTATGCCAACTGAAATGTACCCAGGCCACTACTATAGACAAGCAAAATGCTCCATAAATATTTATTGAGTCAATCAATGAACAGTGGTATATAATAAAAGTTAACTTGAAGCAACAGCTAGAACAGTTTCAAAATACATACTGTTTTGATGGGGAAAAACTAAAGTGGGGAAAATAACTTTTCCAGTAATGTTCAGGACTAAAACATAGGAAGAAAGCTGCACTTTGAAGTGAAAGGAGTTGAATAGGTCAAAACAATTCAAACAAAACCACTCACAAATATGCCTGAGAGTTTCTACCTCAAGAATGGGGCAGATAATGAAAAGGAGATGGATAGGGGCAAATTTTCAAGGGAAAGGACATTACTGAGAGTTCTAAAAAGCTTCCTTTCAAGGACCTCATCTTTCTCTGCAGACACCCTTTCTCATCTGCTTTCCATTTCAAAAGGCAATCATGCTCAAAGTCAAACTATGACCAGGGTCTTAACAGGCTGCACTTGAAACCTTGGATTCCAAAGTACTATCTCTGCCATAAGCATTTCTTGTTCTATTCTTTAGCCTGGACCGTAAAGGCAATGGGATGAAGCTGGTCTTGGAAAACTGAATTTGAAGTCGCCCAAACAACCACAACCACCCAAAATTGAAAAACTTTCCAGAGGTGCACACGAATACCAAGGGGAATTAAAGCCCATGAGGGAGGTGCTGGGTTTTGGCTGCAGAGACATGTAGTGGATCCTAAAGTCCAGTTTCACTGCTTTCTCTGCTATTCCAGAAGACTTTCACTACTCAAGCCATAACATATGTGATTATCCCAACCCTTCCCACCTGATGGCTTTTCCTCCAAAAAGCTGTCTCCAACTTCTCTAGCACAAGTGATGCCTCTTCTCCACATCCTGGATATCATCCCTGCCTGGGTCCGCAGCTTCCCAGCGAGGGGTCAGGACCTGCTTCAGCACCTGCTCCTTGGTCTGTTTCTGGTCTCAGCAACTGTGGGCAAAGCTCTGAGAGTCTTCTGACAGCCCTGGGAGGCCCAGGTAGCTATCTCCTGGTAGTAGCAACTTAAAGTCTGAAGGACTATCCATGACTTCTTTGCCAGCGTGGTCCCAGGCACGGCCCTCTCCCTCTGCCATCAGTCACTATTAGGGACCTTTCCGCAGGAGGACCGCCATTCTGGAATGAGAGCACTCAGGAGAAGATTCACGCCAGCCTGGGGTTCACAACGGTTTTTCAGAAGTATTTCCTTGTGGCTAGTCTTCTTCCTGGGGCACAAAATAACACTGTTAACAGAAACTCTAATTTTTGTTCAGCTCTTTTACTCAAGAATTCACTACCCGGACAAGGCACTGAAAGAAAAAGGAACTGTCAGGAAGCTAAATAAATTGAGTGGGAGGGACTTTGCAAATTATTAGCTATAGCACCATGTGCTGAATCTTTTACTTCCTAAATGTTTGTTAATAAAACTTGAAAGACCATGACCCTCTTCCCTTGGGTTCTCCCCTTCAAAGAATCCCGAAGAAATAGTAGAGAAAATAACATCAGAAATGAGAAAATAGTATCAGCTAATATTTCTTTAAAAGTAACTGCAAACTTAGTTAAGTAGGTACTATTATAATCCCACTGACACCTGAATGACACTGTGGTACAGAGCGATCAAGCCATTTGCTAAGTCACACAACCAGTACGTGGCCTCCAGCCTCTTCCAGCGTCGCCGCAGCCACCGCACGGGGTCAGGCGTCAGATCATCTCCCCGACCAACCGCACTTTCCTTTTACAAACCCGGGACCCCAGACTTTCTTTTTCTCAACAGTCCAGGTGCCCTGATACAGCTCAAACCCTCGAGGCCATCCTTGACTCCCCCGGCAACTCTCCATCGCCGGACCCTACCCCACCCCCGGCCCAGCCCGGAGCCTCGGGGCGCGCGCGGAGAGGCCGCGCGGAGCCCGCGGTGCGCAAGGCTGCGCTCCGCCCCCGCACCGGTGCGCGCCGAGTCTCGCGGCGCCCGCGCTTCCCGGCCGGCTGCAGCCCCCACCCCTGCGGCGCCGTTCGGTCTCCTCTCGGGGCCTGGAGGCTTTCTCCTCTCAGCGGTTGCCTAGCGGCGTCCCCGCCCCGCAAAGCCTCCGGGCGGCGCCCGCGGGGGAAGGGGGGCCCCGGCTCGCACGACGCTGAGCAAAGGCTGGGGGGCTGTCCCCGAGGCAGGCGAGTGCCCGCGGCCGTCCCGGGAACACGGCTCGCGCGCACGGGGGCGAAGCACGGGGCGGAGAAGCCACCTAGCCCACGTCACGCCCGGTCGGCGGCTACTCGTCTCCACGTTCCCTACGGGGAAGTGAGACACAACCGTAGTAAATCACCTGCCTGAATTCAGTTTGACTACAGAAAACGCACGTTTTTTAGCGGGTATGAAATGAGATCATCACTTAGGTAGGCACAACTAGATCAAAAAGTAAAATATGCCTATCAAGCCTGAAGAGGAGTTAGTAAAGAGCTCACCATAAATCACAGGTGACAAATAACGTCCACTTAGAGGTCCTTCTGGGTACCCAGAAGGACCTTTTGGGCTATATATATATATATATATATATTTGGATATATATATACACCATATATGTATATATATACACATTTGGGCTTATAAGATGGTCCGTGGAACAAACATGGACCCCTTCAGCTGTGCCGGCTGAAAGCTCCGGGAGCCTTGACCGATGGGCTTTCAGACCTGGAAGTGTGGGTGAACGGTCCGTGGTTTCCATGAAATCAAGGGAAAACCGCTGGCTCTCAATGATGGTCTAAATGAACTGCTAGAGGGACTGTGATATGAGAACTTTTCGGGGTGAAAGGATGAAAGTTGAGAATATTTAATTAAAGGTTGTCAAATGATTATCCCTAAACTGAATAGGGCAACTTGTTGCTCAAATAAATTGTGGGCTTGTGGAGTCAGGAGAGGCACCTGAAAGAACTATTTTATATAATTCTGTTTCCTTTAATCCTAGAAGTGGTGTTAGATACAAATATAAAACCCTTATCAAGAATAGATCCATATGGGTTATTGGATAGATCCATACCCGGACATCATCTTTACGATGTGTATTAATGAAGACTGCCAAAAATCCCGTATTCTGTCACAATAGAAGGTGATCCTTTCCTATAAAGAGTCCATTTTTAGTGGAATGTCTCCTGTGGACACCCTCCTTGTGTAGGCAGCAAGCATTAGGGTTCACATTACATTGACCAAACCTCATCCAAGATTTGGTGTGCAGAGAGGGTGGTAATACTACCTTGGATACTACCTAGGACTCTGGGGTTTCTGAAGTATCTTTTAGAAATGACAGTAGTGGGCGCCTGGGTGGCTCAGTTGGTTAAGAGACTGCCTTCGGCTCAGGTCATGATCCTGGAGTCCTGGGATCGAGTCCCACGCCCGCTTCTCCCTCTGACCCTCTTCCCTCTCGTGCTCTGTATCTCTCATTCTCTCTCAAATAAATAAAATCTTTAAAAAAAAAAAAAAAGAAAAAGAAATGACAGTAGAAAAGCTTGCACAGATCATTACTCAGGACATTGATTACCACTGTAACACAGGGTTCCTTCAACTGAAATGGGAAGTGTGGGCTCTAGAATTGGGCTGCTTGGGTTCAAAGCCTGGCTCCACTATATTATAACTTTGTGACCTCAGGCAGCTTCAATTCCCTGATTTCAGTTTCCCCAGCTAAAAAGAAAATAAAGCACTTGGTAATGCCCGGCCCTTAGTAAGCCGTATATGTTACATATTATTAACAAATCCTATTCTCGACTCCCAAAGACGCCAATAAGGGCTTTGTTTTGACTGTAAGAACTCTATAATGAATAATCTATGGCAAATAACAAGAGGCTATTTCTGTTCAGAGCACAGGGGTGCAGACCTGCTCTCCACTGCTAGCCTCACCCCACAACTGACATTTCTCAATTCAGAGCCCTGCTCAATCCCATTGTTTCCTCAGTAGCTTTATCTCACACCTAAAATTCCAGCAACCTCTTCTTACAACTGAGTCCCTTTCTATGACACCCACTAAACCCGTTTGTCAGGTTACTCTTCAAAGCCCCGTTCACTTTTTTTGTCTTAAACACTCAGTATCTTGTTTACCTTGAATCAATTAGAAAAGAGAAGCCAGTCAATCTCACTCTTATCCTTATTGTTATTTCTAAGCCACTGCTTTGTGATTCCAGTGTTACACCAGTTCCTCAACCTGGCTGTTACTACTCTTGACTGACATTATTTCTACCTTGGACTTGCTTTAATTTCACATTTTTCCTTTCCATCCTACTGCCTGTTATTGCTAATGGTTTCAAAATCCACAAAGGTAAGCTGCTTCAAAGGACCCTGATTTCCTAGTTCCTGTCCCTGTTAGACCACATCCAGCTTTTATCCATAAAGATGCACTCTGGACTTTCATCATTCTCTGTTCGCCACACTCCCCAATTTCATCTCTAACCTGTCATGTCCTCCATTTGCCCCTCAGGGCCTTCTACTTCTGTGTTGCCAATTTAGCTCCAGTTATACTCTCTTTTCTCCTTATCCTGGATAGTTTGACCCCTTTGATGCCTACCTGGAAATTCCACGCCACCCCACCCTTTCTTGGTACTGCAACTATATTTAAGTACAAGAAACAACCAGAACAAAACTCCCACCTTTATTTTTAAACAAGTTATGAACTGTATGCTACATCACAGGCACATCCCGATGTTCTGGGTCTCTTATCTATGGGTCCTTTATATTAGGCAATTAAAGGCGTTAGAGGTAAATGGAGGCACGCATCTGCGTTGAGAACGTGTTAAGCAGAAGATGAACTACATAACCTGTAAGTAAAGGCACTGTGAAGAGAAAGCAAGTTTAAAATAAGAAATTGCGTTCCAGTGAGCAGTAGGATTCGAGAGAGGTCAGAGTAACTTCAGTTTGGATACCGCGTCTGACATGTGAGCAGGTGACGAGCACGAATATCATCAGCTGGTGAAGAGGACGTGCTCATCCGGGTTCTCATCACTAAGCAGCAAGGAGCTTGCCAGAGTGAGAAATGCAAGGCAGGGTGAGCTGGGGAAGGGGGCAGGAACACACACAGCTCAAAGCTCTCAGGCTCACTCAGGGCAACAAACTGTTTTCTGGATGTAAAAAATTAGTTCCCCAACCCTGGCTGCCTCAGTGTCTCATGTGTGCAGCTCCCATGTTGGTATTAGGATAAACACCTAAATAAAGAGTCTTCAACTCGTGATTGAGTTGTTTTTTCAAATGTTCATTTGCTTTCTTCTATTGTGAACTCAGGATGTTTTCCCATGGTCATGTAAATTCCAATCCCAAAAGCAAATGACACATGTGTCATAATATGCCTAAATTATAGTACTAATACCATTATTATTCTTATGGGAAAATGTGCTCACATTTAAGAGCTTAAAAGCTACAGAGCTATTTCTCCAGGGACCCTTCTGGTTCCAAGCCAGTGATGACACTCCCATGTTCTGGATCAGGCTACAGATAGAGCGGGCAGGAGACAAGGGCCGAAGGGAAAGGGGGCAGAGCACACTATAGGAGCAGGGAGGAGATGGGATAGAGACACAGGGCTAGATACAATGGCAGTTAAGAGTAGTTAAAGGAAGGCAATTACCCATTTCTCCCCTCCCCCTTTTGTCTCACCACTTCAAACCCACTAACCAGCTAGAGGTGAGGGGTGGAGAGGATCCTGGAGTCCTGTGGGATGAGGTAGGGTGGGGAGGTAGTCCCAGAAATTGCAGAGTCTGCCGTGGCAAGGTAGCAAGGGAGGGAAATCAGAGGACAGCTGAGTGAAAATTAAAAACAGTCTCTGTAAATAAAAAGATCAACAGACCAGGAGCCATGTGTGCCTCTCTGTAGCTGCTGACTACCCGAAATAATCATCACAGGCCCTCATCTAGGACCGAACTGTTTACTCAGTAAAACAGGAGTAAAGTCAACCAGTTATCGGTTCATGTTTTCACAAGTCCCAAAGGACAGAGTCACTAATCTTTGGCTCTTTTATGTGCTCAAGAAGGTTTACAAACCAAAAAAATTGTAAACCAGTTCTGAAGAACAGTTATTAGGGAATTCAGAACACGAGAACTATGTAATTGGGGGAAAAGAGAGGTCAGAAGCCAAAGAGAGAACACTAGCGCCCTCCCCTAACTAAACACACACAGCCTTGTGCTCAGATGACTCCCGGAGCCTTTGAATGTAGGTCAGGAGACTATTTTGACACCTTTAAATGTGAAGAGGTGGGAAGGCCAGCCTGAAGCCCTTGTGGCTGGCCGGTGGTCAGGTTCTCTCTAAAGTACCGGTGGCACCTGTCCTCCGTCGGGCTTCCCTTACGCTCTAATCCAGCAGCGGTTCACGTGTCCGCATGCCACAGGCAACCATGAAGGCAGCTGGGATTCAATGCGGTGTTTCTCGAATTGCAGAATCAGGTGACCGGCTATAAACATGAAGATTCTCGGCCCCCATCCCAGACTTAATGAGGCGGAATGTCTGTGAGTGGGACGTGGGCATTTTAAACGAGCTCCACACGCGATTCTGATGCCCAGTGAAGTGGAAGCATCCCTAGAGCCACGGACAGGACTCGGAGCCGGAGACCTACCCTTCAGTGGCTGGTCTTCCCTCTGTGCCATGGCAGTTATGTCCCCATCTCCACACGCAAGAGTCCTCACCTTTCCAATGGCCAGTGATTTTAATTTACAGAGATATTTTAGGAATGAAGTCAGAAAAGTGCTAAGACGCACGCTCACCCTCCCGCAGTCTGTCCCCAAGCTCTGCAGCCAGCGTACTGCCATCAACTGCCCAACTGGACGGACTCTCGACCTCAGGTCGGCTCGGACGCCTCCAAACCACAAGCACTCTGCCTGCATTTCCTTTACCCTAAATGCTTTCCATTTTGCCTTCCAATTCGGCCCATCCAACCCTTTTTGTAAGATCTTTCCTGACCCCGAGGCGTCGGGAGTCCGTCCTCCCGGACGGACGGCACTTACTGTGCGCCACAAGCCACTTCCAAGACACGGCACTCGCACCATCAATTCTCCTGCCCTACTGCAGAGTCTTACCTAACCTCACACGTGGTATTTAGCTATCCCCAGCTAAACCGTAAACTTTGGAGAAGAGGAATTTGGTGTTATGCTTCTCGATCTCCACAGCACCTGACAGAACAGGCAGCACACAGGGAATTCTTTATATAACAGCTGAGGTTTCCTTATAGCAACAGTGACTGGCATTTTCCCAAATGATTTCAAAGCTAGGATTTCTCTCCAGCCTGCACTCCGTCACACAGCTTCCCTGTAGCCATCAGAGAGAAACAGGCTTTTCTCCTCTGTGGACAGTCTGATGTTGAATGAGAGCTGAGGTCTGCCTGAACGATTCCCCACACTCTTTACGTTTACAGGGACCACCTCTACTATGGATTCTCTGGTGTTTACTAAGATCTGACCTCTGTCTGAAGGCTTTACCACATTGATCACATTGGTAGGGTTTCTCCCCAGTGTGGATTCTCTGATGCTGAATGAGGCTGGTGATTCCACGGAAGGCATTCCCACACTCATCACACTTGTAGGGCCTCTCTCCAGTGTGGATTCTCTGATGTTCCGTGAGGACGGATCTTTGAGTGAAAGCCTTCCCGCACTTATCACATTTATAGGGTCTCTCCCCAGTGTGAATTCGCTGATGTTCTATAAGACTCGTCCTCTGAATAAAGGCTTTTCCACATATGTCACACTTGTAAGGCTTCTCCCCAGTGTGGATCCTCTGATGCTGAACAAGGCCACTCTGACTGAAGGATTTCCCACATTCCTTACACTGATGGCACTTTTCTTTGTGGTGGATCTCCTGGTGGGAAACAAGGGATGAGTTATAAACAAAGGCTTTTCCACACTCGCTGCACTCATAGGGCTTCGCCCCAGTGTGAACCCCTTGATGTTGAGTAAGTATTGAGCGCCGACTGAAACTTTTATTACACTGAGTACAATGGTATGGTTTGTCTCTTGTGTGGATCTTGAGATGGTGAAAGAGGCCTGCTTTCTGGCTAAAGGCTTTGCCGCACTCATTACAGTGGTAGTGCTTCTCTCCTGTGTGAAGTCTCTGATGTTGGTTAAGAGCTGACCACCGGCCAAAGGCTTTGCCACACTCATTACATTTATACGGTTTCTCTCCGGTGTGTATTATTTTGTGCCGAATAAGCACAGTTCTCCCACGGAAAGTTTTTCCACATTCCTCGCATCTGTAGGGCCTGTCTCCAGTATGGACCCTCTGATGTTCTATAAGGCGCGAGTGCTGACTAAAGGCTTTCCCACACTCCTTGCATTCGTGAGGTTTTTCTCCCAGACAGACCCTCTGCTGTTCAGTCAGACTGACTCTGTTTTCATCACCTGTAGATTGTTCACCTTCTCTGGAGGGTCCAGAAGATTCTTCTGTTTTTGCTTCGGATTCATCAGCTTTTCTGCACCAAGTGGGCTGGGACACTTCACTTTCAAATCTAGACATATTCTCATATGGTTCCATTTCTTCAGAAACTTCTTGCTTTAAATTCCTGTACTCGTTTCCAGTCTCAACACCTGAAACTACAACGGATTGCCAAGTCAACTAGTTTCCAACGTAAGATTCGTCAGTGAAAAGTACATAAGAACCTAGAGTTTCTGCAGGACTATGAAATGGCATTAGAACACAGGACAGACACAATATGGAAAGCACTCCAAAAATTGTTATGGAAAAGACCAATAACCCAATAGAAACTGGACAAAGGAAAAACTGACTGTAATAAAGAGAAAAGCAAATTTAAACAATATTGAGACACAATATTCACCCGTCATCCTGCCCAGTAGGATGTAGTTACGATGTAACACTGTGTTCATGAAATGGGTGTCACATGTTGCCAGTGGGAGTGTAAACTGACCCAGGCTTTATAGAAGGCAATTTGACAACATCTGTCAAAATTACGAATGTATTTAACCTTTGACCTAGTAATTTCACATACAGGAATTTATACTGCAGAATTACACACATTCACCACAGCACCACCTGTTACAATACAACACTGGAGACAACCTGGGGGATGGACAAGTTTACTGTGTGGTTCACCCATACATTTTACTATTAAGCTGCTAAGAAATAAAAAATGCAAGCTTTTGGGCGCCTGGGTGGCTCAGTCGTTAAGCGGCTGCCTTCAGCTCAGGTCATGATCTCAGGGTCCTGGGACCGAGCCCCGCATCGGGCTCCCTGCTCGGCTTCCCACCTGTTTCTCCCTCTCCCGCTACCCCTGCTTGTGTTCCCTATCTCGCTGTGTCTCTGTCAAATAAATAAATAAAATCCTTAAAAAAAAATGTAAGCTTTTATCATCTTTATGATAAAGACAAGAAAAGGTATTTACTGGAATATGAAAAACTATATATCTTGAGAAGGACACACAAGAACTTAGAACAGTGACAACCTATTTCAGAGCCAGGAGGCCAGATGGCCGAGGGAACAAGGTGAAATGAAAACTTTTCACTGGATAATTTTAAGTTTTTGTTTTTGAACTGCATGAATTTTTACCTATTTTAAAAAATTAAATGGGAAAGAATAAATATAGACAAAATAGAGACAAGGAAGATAAGGGGTCTTTCATCCATTCACCAACTTTTAACATTCTGCCACATTTGCTTTGTTTCTTCTCTTTGTAAGCGTACACATATATACATTTTCTCCTGAACCATCTGAAAACTGCAGACATCGTGGAGCAGAGGCTTGTTTACTGAAGGAGGAAGGATACAGCCAAAGTGAAGACCGTAGTACCGTCTGACAGGATAAAGGCTGGAAAGCAGAGTAGCAGGACAATAGGAAATAACTATCAGAATCACGCAGTTAAGTGATCTCAAGTAAAATATTTTTTTTTGAATTCTTGCACTGTTTTACTTGAGATCACTTAACTGCGTGATTCTGATAGTTATTTCCATTGTCCTGATAACCCGAAGAGTGACAAACCAAAGTGGCTGTGCACGAGAGACGTCCTGACTCTGATGATCAGAAACAGTACAGAGTACTACAGAGGCCTGTGCTAGCCCCAACCTCGACTTCCTCCCAAGACGGGTCTGTCTTCTTTACCTTGCTCCTCCAGTTGGGCTTCAGGTTCTGGAGACTCACACTTGAGCTGTGCCATCAGGGGTGGGAAGGACATGCTGGGCTCCTGTTCTGTTCCCAGAGGGGCCATCTCCGGCAAGCGCTGGTCCCGTTCCTCAGTGTGGACTGAGACCTGTGGCAAACGAGACACAGCTCACACACTCAGTCTGTGAACAGAAAATAAGAGTATACGAATCATGGCAGTGACACCCAGCTCTCTGACACCTCAACTTCCTTCCAGACACCAGCCTGCCATGACCCTCCTCATGGCACCTCCTCTAAGAAACCTTCCTTTCTCCTGTTCTTCACAGCTAAACAATGCTGGTTGTACCACCTTCACTTCATTTATGCTTTGGAGAAAGGCAGAAGGAAACAAAGGAGCGACGGGGGAGGAGGAGGGAGGGGAAATCTTCCATGTAGGCTCCAGAAGCTGTTCCCTACAGACTGCCCTTCCCAGGCCCCCACCCCACTTCCTTCCAGGAGATGACCTTATTTTCTCCTTGTCCAAGGTCATGGTCACATGAGAGACCACCCACCCTTCATTTCATCATCCCCCCCCGCCCCCGCATACACCCTTTTCCCCTTCCACTTAGAGGAAGAGGCCTTTTCTCATTCAAGGTGCATATCTCTACTCTCGCTTTCAACCCCATCCCTTCCTGCACTGCACCCCTGACCCCTGCTCCTGCAACAAACTCATTTATTTAGCAGTTTAAGCCACTCTGTAGCTTCCATGCTTGCATGGAAACATTCCCCTTGTATTTAAAAATAACAGGTTTCCCCAGCAGGGTATGAAACGCAGGGATCTGGGAGCACTCTCATTCCTTAGTCTGTGTCTTAGTTCAGGAGCTCCGTGAGCAGGGACTGGTTACTTGGACTACATGGCACAATGCACACAAAGCACCTCACAGAGGGCACGGCTACACCAGGCCCTCAAACTGCTCCCCAATCCCCTTCAGTGGCTACATTCTGTAAGTAAGAAATCACCGCACACTGCCTCTATTCTGACAGTATCATTGTGCAACCTCTGCCCCCAGAATAAGAGCCAAAATCAGCAGGATGCTGAGATGCCCAGAAAAAGATGTTTCAACTTCAAATGTGGAGGGAGAAAAAGGCCAGTACAGTGGGTTGTGTCTTCTATCCACAGATCTCTGGCAAGGCCTCAGAAATCAAGTTTAAATTCCGTTAGCTGCCCCCAGCATGCTTCGAGGGAAGGGGCTGGTTGGCAAAACAAACTCAACATGTTTAAAACCACATTACGTCTGCCTGCACTTGAGAATCCCCTTCTTTCTTCTGGTTCTCTTCCCGTCTCCCTGGCTGCTTCTCCGTTTCCACTGCCCTGATGACCTCTCTTCATTTCATAACCTCAAATGTCATCCATATTCTGACAAGTTCCAATTTTGCATTTCTAGCACAGATCCCTCCACCGAATCCCAGCTTGTTATACCCAGTTGCCTGCTCAACTTTTCCAGGTGGATTCTAATAGGAATCTCAAAATCAACACATCCAAATACCTAGTAACCCTCGATCCCTGTCCTGACTCCAAACCTTCCTCTCTCCCAGACTTTACCATCTCCATGAATGACGAATCCACAAATCATGACGTTCAGAACAAGAACCTTAGTTGAATCCTGAGCTCACTTTCTCTCCTATCCCACATCCTACAGAAAAACATAATCCCTTCAAGTGCTACCTCCAAAATAGCCAGGATCCAATGGCATCTCACCACTTCCACGGCTACTGCCCTAGTCCAAGCCGCCAGCACCTGTTGCCTGGATTGGTGCTGAACCTGTCTCCCTGCTTCCATCTTTGACCCCCCGGCCTCCCGCACCCCCACCACCAGCCCCCGTGCACAACTCTTCCAACAGAGCAGCTGATTATTTTTAAAATTTAGGTCAGGTCAAACCTCTTCTCTGTTCAAAACTCTCCAGTGACTCAGCACCCCCTGTTTACTGTCTGCCTCCTCTCATTAGACTAGAATCTATGAGACAGCAGCAACTTCTGCACTTTGTTCACGGTTCCGTTTCCAGTGCCTAGAATGGTGCCTGGTACAAAACTCCATTCAGTAAATGTCTCCCGAACAAATGAACTTTTCCCCAATCCACTTTCCCCTAAACCCTTGAACTCTGTTAGGAGCACCTGGATCACGCTAGTCTCTCAAGCTGGAAGTCCCCAGTGCTCAGCCTAGAAGTGACTGCTCCGTAGAGACATTTCCCTTCATCCTTCCTTTTTCATCCACTGATCTGTCATCGTTTCCAATTAGTACTTACCTATGACATGCTTCGTCCTCTGTAGTCTCACCGTCACAACTCTCTCAAACTCACATCTTCTGCCACAGGCTCCCCCGTTCCAGTGTTGGCGCCCCAGTGCTGGGCTGCACTTCTTGTTTTATTATTTCCCTGGTTTATATTCTTCCTAGCAAGACTTCCCAGCCTTGACTCTGACAAGTTGGGTCAGATAATCCTTTGTTGTATGCGGCTGCCTATACACTGTAGGATACCGGGTAATGTCTGCCCATTAGCCACTAGATGCCAGTAGCACCTCCCCAAATGGCAACCAAAAATGTCCCAAGACATTGCCAGATGCCTCTAGGGCACAAAATTGCCACTGGTTGAGAACCACTGTCTTTTATCAGTGCTGAAACAAAACAGAACAAGATCCTACACACTTTGGTTACATCCTGGGGTTAGAGAAGCTCATTTAGACTCAAAGAGAAAACCTTAGACGCCTGTGTCCTACAGAATAAAATCTAAATTCCAGAGATGATATTCAAGGTCCTGGACTCTGTTTTCAACCCCTCTACTCACACCTCACCTGTCCAACCTAGCTGGGCTTTCTACTACTCCCAGTAACTCCCATCCCTGCCCGGCCCCTCCCTCCTAACCTTCCACTCGGCTCCTACCTCCCACTCCTCCAAGGTGGTGACTTTGATTTCTCCTTCGTTTAATCCTTTAATGGAGGCAGGGCAGTGGATACACTGCTGTGCAACAGAAACAATGTCCCTTTCAAGAGACTGCTGAGCACCCCGTTACCATGACCTCTCAAACATTTGCTCTTAGAAATCTCTTTCTAATGTTTTTGAGCATTTCATCAAATAGAACTCTGTAGGCCTAGTACAGAAGTACATGATCCTTCCGCAGAGAAGCCAAAAATAAGTTAGGACTACATTAACCAACTTCCTAAGAGGCTCGGGCCTGATGCACCGAAGTGTCAACACACTTTGTAAAACAAAGTTGTACTTCACTCTGGCCTAGAAATCCATAATTCACCTTTTATCATTAAGCAGATCTCTTTTTCGCACCTGTTCTCCAGGCTCATCCAGCTCCCTCTCCAGATCCTCCAGCACAGTCACCGCCTCCTCCCCGCTCTCCGGGTGCTGCTCCCGCACCCAGGCCTGCAGCTCCTCGGGCAGGATGGTCAGGAACTGCTCCAGCACCAGCAGCTCCACGATCTGCTCCTTGCTGTGCGTCTCGGGCCGCAGCCACTGACGGCACAGCTCCCGGAGCCGGCTCAGCGCCTCGCGGGGCCCAGATGTCTCCTGGTAGCAGAACTGCCGGAAGTACTGCCGGAAGACCTCCCTGCTGTGGGTGCTGTTCTTTCGCAGGTTCTGATCCTGTCTGGTGGTGGTATACTCCTCCCTCTCCTCCTCCTCGATCTTCACTTCCAGAAGCTCATCCTGGTCCCCGCGGGCCGGGAGAGCCCAAGCAGATGCCATCAGAGCTGTGCAAAAGCTTTATCGGTGCCGCAAGCAAGATTCCCTGTTCAGTTCCCCCTGGGTGGACCTGAGGGAGAAGCCGTCACTCTTCACACAAGCTACACCATAGGCCAAAATTGCAAATTCTAAGAATTCACTTCTGTGCTTTGCAAGCCACCTCCAGGTTAATTTACGATACTCAGGGAAACGCTCCGATTACAAAAGACTTAGGAACAAACTAATCTAGAAAAAAATTAAGGAAAAGCTGCGAAGTGGTCTGAGGATTTTACAAACGAACAGTACGGGCCGGTAGGAAACACCTGCATTGAGTCCTAGAGTGAAGGGCAATCAAAGGGGATGCAACCAACATTTAGAGCAAATAAATAGTAATAAAACGTCGGGACACCCTCGCTCAGTCGCCTTTCTCCTGTAACAGCCGGGCGTCCGGCGGAAACCCTGCCGTCAGGAGCGCAGGGCTCCAGCCCCTCGGGCGCTGTCTCCGCTCCTTCCCCCCGCGCAGGCCACGCCGCGTTTCACGGCTCTCCGAGGGCGGGACAGGGCCGCACGCTCGCTCCCCCGCGGCCCGCGGCGCCCGGCACATGGGTCACCCCCGGGGTACGAAAGGCCGCGGCCTCCAGGCGGTCCGAACCCCAAACGGCCCACAGCGCCCCACAAAGGCCGGAAGCGAGCGGCGTGGGCGCTCCCGCACTTCCGCCGCAGCAGCAGCAGGGAGGGGGCGGGCACTCGCCGGGCAGTTCCCGCGCGGCCCCGCGAGCTCGCGAGAGTTAGACGGTGGGCGCGCGCGCACTTCCGCCGCAGCCGCAGGGAGGGGCGGGCGCGGCCCCGCGAGGTCGGGGAAGGTAGACGGGCGAGCTGCGGGGGTCGTTACTCTCAATCCCCAGCTCCTGCTCCTGTCGCTGCCCCCGCGACCTCGGCCCCACGGTGGGCGAGGCCTGGCACACGTGCAGTGGGTGCCACTTTGTCCTGTAACTCTCTCTATAAATTATTAGAGTCAGCTTGCCAGTGTTTTGTTGGGGGTTTTGCATCTCTGCTCGTGGGAAATGCTGGCCCGTAGTTTTCCTTTCTGTAATGTCTTCGGGTAATGACGGCCCTACGACGCGCGGCTTCCTGCAGGAGGCTGACACTGAAGGAGTCAGCCAGCACCAGAATAAGGGGCCAAGGCGAAGCAGTCCGCCTCGGTCACAGGTGCGATGCAGCCGCAGAAGAGCCTCCAAGCCCTGAGCGCGCGAGACACAGGGCAGGCCCAGGGACAGCGTTCCGCGTCGTCCACGCGGGGGAAACTCAGGGATGTGGGGGTGCGGAACAGACACCAAAGGTAAAAATGGATCTCCAGAAAACTCATTTCTCATACTTTTCGTCCAAACTCATTGATAACATTTGGCCATTTTATAAGCCAGGTAACTCCCAACATTTAAAAAAGAGAAATGATTCTTGAGATATTTGATAATCCTTCTAAGTACTTCTAAAATCAAAAGAGGGGGAAAAAAGCAGACTTTGACATCCAGGACTCAAGAAAGACATGGTGAAACTAATTCAGAAGATCAGTTACTTTGTGTATAAAAAATAAACCTATATATACACTTGATAAGCTCATAATCATGTTGGGTGTATTTAGAGAAGTTGTAAAGGAGGCAATAAAGGAGAAAAAAGTTGAACAATAATTTAGGAAAAGAGAATCCAAAAAACTTTATTATTATTTATCCCCCAGGCTTTAAATCTGGATGGACAAGGGTGTTTTGGAAAATTAAAGATGGCTACAAATTCTTCAGCATTTTTCCCTTAGGAGGTGGAGGTCTAGGTCATTTCCCTTTGAGTCTAAGTGGGTTTGATGACTGCTCTGATAAAATACAGCAAAAGTGATGCTGTTTGAGTTTCCCAGCCTGAGCCTTTAGAGAGCAGCAGCTTTCACTTTTTGTGTTTTTGAACAGTTGCTCTTGGAGTCCTGAGCCATCACAGGAACAGGCTGACTGCCCTGCTGGAAAGATCCTATAACGAGGCCCTGAGCCCACCCTTCTACTGTCCTTGCCCCAAGGCACTGGGCATGGCAGTGCAGCTGTCTTGGATTTTTCAGGCAAACCCAGCTGCCAGATGAATACCACCAAGTGTCACTAGAAGATGCCACATGAAATGGAAAAACCTTGCAGCTGAGCCCTCCCCAAATTCCTGGCCCAAAACATCATGGGATGGATGTTTATTCTAAGGCATTGTTTTTTGGTAACTTTTTATGCATCCAGTATATGTTATTATAACAGCTTGGTCAGACTATTTGCTGAGGATATTAAATTTCCTTAGATTATAGATGGTGTAGTCTACAAGGAATTTTAAATTTGTAATTGATTTCTTGACTTCAAACCAGAAAAAGGTATTGAGGACATGCTACATCTTTTTTTTAAGTTAAGGAGTTTATTAGGGAACTATGAGAGGCAGTGACAACCCAGTAACAGGAAGAAAATTCTGAAAATGTCCCTTCAAGCCAAGTTGGGGCCTGACCTTGACCTCCCCAAAAGGACAAGAAACTGGTGGGTTAGCAACGAAATTCTGTGGTGGCCACCTTGCCAGGGCATGAGTGTCTCAGCCAGACTGCCCCTCAGCCCCCCACCAAAGGTGGAGAGGAGACAAAGGCTGTTTATAGAACCAATTCTGAGGCAATGAGAGCTGTAAGGAAAGTTGCGGGCCGGGGGGGAACCCTTAAAAAGAGTCCCAGGGGTTTGGCTCTGAGCAACTCAAATACTTTGACAAATAGTTCTACAAAATGTTATTTAAAAGGTAAAATGCCTAATGTTTCTGAGTTCCCCAGGTCCACAACCAGCTGTTTTTTTTTTTATACAATCAATTTGTATCTTAACTGATGAACTACTGAATACATTGGCTTCTTGAACAACAAAGGGCTTGAATTATGCAAGTCACTTATACTTGGACTTTTTCCCATACAATACAGTACCATAAATGTATTTTCCTTTTTTTTTTTAAAGATTTTATTTCCTTGAGAGGGAGGGAGCAAGCAAGTGGGGGAGGAGCAGAGGGAGAGGGACAAGCAGACTCCACACTGAGTGCGGCCCTTCCCAGGGCTCAATCCCATGACCCTGAGATCATGACCTGGGCTGAAATCAAGAGTCTGAGGCTTAACCGACTGAGCCACCCGGGGGCCCCCTGTAAATGTATTTTCTTATGATTTTCTTTACATTTTCTTGGGGCCCCTGGCTGGCTCATTCAGTGGAGCATGTGACTCTTGATCTTGGGGTCGTTGAGTTCCAGCCCAACATTGGGGGTAGAGATTACTTAAAAAAAAAAATCATAAAAAAATTTGTTCTTTATATACGGTATATGATGCATATAACATACAGAATATGTGTTAATCAACTGTTTATATTATCAGTAAGTCTCTGGTCAACAGTAGGCTATCAGTGGTTAAGTCAAGTTATACTCAGATTTTTTACTGTGAAGGGGGTCAGTGCCCCAACCCCCATGTTGTTCAAGGGTCAACTGTACTATACTCAAAGTATGAAAAGATCATTATGTTTACGGTGGTTGCAATGAACAATTAACTTGATCACCTTTCTCGTGCAGAACTCAAAATCAATAAAGAGAATCTTGTCAATTTCCCTGAACTTAATGCAATGTAAATAAAATAATGGTTTTAGTTTTAACTTGTTTTTGACTCTAGGATGGCTTTATTTATTTATATTACCTGCCTGTCCCCTGGGCATTTGAGTTTGCTTACTCTCCCATGAAGACTAACTTGGATCTGTTTGTTTTCCTAACGCAAATTAATACACCTCTATTTAAAAAAAAAAAAAAAAGATGCATCTTTCTTCTTTGGGGTCTTGGCTGGGGGCTATGTGTCACACATCACAACTTAGATAGGAACGGAAGGCCCAAGGATCCACCATGTTGTCACTAAAAAGATGCTGAACAAGTTTTTTTTGACTTGACAAACCACTGCAGCAACATTTTAAAATACATTAACCATCTAGTAATATTGCTATTTGTATTTTATACACAACTTAAGTTTTCACTAAAAAAAAAATTAGTCCAAGCTTTTTTAAGAACTGTATTTAGGAACAACTAATAAAACATCTGGAAATCTGAAGTGGTGGACCATAGGCAGCCCTTTGAATCACTAAAATAATGTAGCTTGTTTGATGAAGCTGTTAAGGAAAAAGTAACTGGCTTGCTCTATTGAATCTGACCAGGTTTTGAGGGACATTCTGAAGGGCCAGTTCCCATCAAAGACCACCTACAGGTCTGGAATGAAGAGAGATTCTGCCTTGCCAGTCTCAGATGCTGGACACTTAAAAGTTTTTAGTGTTAGATGCTACCGTTCACAGCCTTTTCATCCATATTTATCAACTTCCCACATTCTCTCTTGAGTGACTTTTCTGATACTGAATAAGGAATAAAATGTCCAGGAAAATTTTTACTACAATTACACTAAGAGTTTTTCTCCAACACAGATTCTGACACAGTGGAAAAGCTCTGTGTTCTGACTATTAGCTCTTCCACACTTGTTCGGATGGTAACACTTCTCGCTGGTGTGAAGTCTCTGGTGCTGGTTAAGAGCTGACCACTCTCCAAGGCTTTACCTGTCACTTCTATTACAGGGTCTCTCTCCAAGATGGCTTCTCTGTGATGAACTAGTCCAGTTTGCATATTGTCCCATATCCTCCACATCTGTGAGTCAAATTCAGTGTGAACTCTCTTATCTTCAGTGAAGCCTGCACTCTTGACTAAAAGCTCTTCCACGCTCATCACATTCATAGAGTTTCTCCTCAGTGTGTAGCTCGGATGGAGCTCTGAGTGAAACTCATTCCACATTCATCACACTTACGCCATCATGGATATCCTTCTAGTCTTCCCTGGTATTTCTGGACTTTTATGTAACGAAAGCACTGAGCAACACCTCCATCTAATCTGACAATGTGTCCCTGTTGGCATGTTATTTCTTCAGACGTCTTCTACTTTGGAAGCATCTTCTCATTCTCCATTTCAACCAAATCATCTGAAAGAGGAGACTGAACATTTCAGCATGATTCACCTACTCACACACACCTTACTCAATTACTTGCTCATTGAACAAGCACTCATTAAAAGTACATGCTAGGGGCGCCTGGGTGGCTCAATTGGTTCAGCGTCTGCCTTCAGCTCGGGTCAAGATCTCAGGGTCCCGGGATCGAGCCCCATGTTGTCGGGAAGCCTGCTTCTGCCGCTCCCTCTGCCCCTCCCCCTGCTTGTGCGCCCTCAATCTTGCTCTCTCTCAAATAAATAAATAAAATCTTAAAAAAAAAAAGTACATGCTAAAGGAAAGAAAATGTTTTATGTAACACAGGTGTGTATTCAGTTTATGACTTAAATTATACTGTGTTATTTTTTAAAGCAAGGAGTATGTATGTATACATGTGCCTGTGATAAATAATAACAGAGGGTGCAACAGGAAGAGAACTTCCTTGAAAACATTTTACAAATTTAATATGTAAAATTTTATACTTCATATAATTAAAAAAAAAACATTTTAATATAAAATAAAATAAAAAATCAGTCCCTAAACATTGAACAAGTAATGAAACAAACTGAATTTAAATGTGTACCTGTTGGTGACATAAGCACAGAAAAGAGGAATTATTTCCAATGTCCTTAGAACAGTAATTTTTTTGTATTACCCAAAGATCTATAACTTAAGAACAAAAAGAATGGGAAAACACAGGCACAACCATGAAGCTGTTTATAATAATCATACTTGTTGATGGTAGTGCTAATATTTTTATTGAGGTTATTGTGTATATATTGTGGGATAAAGCAAATGAGTATTTGGTACTCTATTATTCCTGGTGTCTTTGAGAATTCTCCAAAAGGAGATACAGATGAAAGACAGATTAAGACCCTGAAATACTCAATTTGAATTGGAACTATCAATATGAATTCACAATACATAGTCTATCTTAAATTTTTCCTAGCTTTGAGCACTGACAAGGCCTAGGAACAATGTCCAATAAAGCCATGAACACTCCTAGTACCTTATTTTTGGTCTTGAAATAACTGTTTCCCACTAAACAGAATCAAGGGGCCTTGGAAAAATGACTGATCCCAAGAGTGGAAAGGAATCAGAAGATGAGTCTGTACCTCTTGTTATACCAGACAGCAAGAAAGCTATTAAAATGCCTAGACTCGTGTCATAAATAGAGGAGTCAAACTCAACAGGCTCCTACTGCCCAAAGATGAGACAAATGAGCTTCAATAACAACACTTAAGTACAATGGATTGAAAAATACGAAATATGTTTAAATCCACGTTTGTTTTTTTTTTTTAGATTTTTATTTATTTATCAAGGAGAGAGAGACAGAGGCAGGCAGAGGGAGAAACAGGCTCCTTGCTGAGCAAGGAGCCCGATGTGGGACTCGATCCCAGGACCCTGCGATCATGACCTGAGCTGAAGGCAGATGCTTAACCAACTGAGCCACCCAGGTGTCCCTAAATCCACAAGTTCTAAATGATACTATTATTAATAATAACAACTGGCCACTGTTTTAGAGAATGACAGCAAAATGAATTCATCATTTTGAAACTGATTTTTAAAAACAGGTAGTGGGAAGGGAACCTGGGTGGCTCAGTCAGTTAAGCCTCTGCCTCCGGCTTAGGTCATGATCCCAGGGTTCTGGGATCGAGTCCCACATTGGGCTCTCTGGTCAGTGGGGAGTCTGCTCTTCCCTTTCCCTCTGCCCCTCCACCCTACTTGTGTGCTCTGTCAAATAAATAAAATCTTTAAAAAAATAAAAAAATAAAAAAAATAGGTAGTGGGGAGGGAGTTAATCAATTACCTTGCTTCTTCTATAAGAACCACTGGGTACCCAAGTAGGAAGACAGGGGAAGTATCTCTTTATATAAATATTCTAGCTTTGTTAAATGAGGAACGACAAAATAAGAATATACCAACATTCTGGAACCGCTAATGGAGTCATGTACATAGGTACTGAGGATCAAGAGCTGCTAACATCACGAAGAAAGAGACAACCAGATGTTGTAAACTCCTGATAGAACACACCACTTTGCCAAGTTAAACTTATCTTGTTCCCAAACCTTAAACTTGATTTTGATCAAGCCCCCAGTTTACTGCAATTTATAGAAAATGGATAGAACAGAAGACATTAAACTACAGAACTAGATGCAGATGGCAAAGTCCTCACTATGGGACTCTATCTGAGAAATAGCCTGGTGTGTTTAGTTTTTTCTAAAATTATTTAAAGTAATCTCTACCCAGGGTGCCTGGGTGGCTCAGTTGGTTGAGCGACTGCCTTCGGCTCAGGTCATGATCCTGGAGTCCCGGGATCGAGTCCCACATCGGGCTCCCTGCTCGGCAGGAAGTCTGCTTCTCCCTCTGACCCTCTGCCCTCTCGTGCTCTTTGTCTCTCATTCTCTCTCTGAAATAAATGAAATCTTTAAAAAAATAAATAAATAAATAAAGTAATCTCTACCCAAAAGGTGTGGCTTGAACTCATGACCCTAAGATCGAGTCGCAGGCTCCTCTGACTGAGCCAGCTGGGTGTCCCCAACCTGATGTTTTGTTTTGTTTTTTTTAATATTTTATTTATTTGGCAGAGAGAGATACAGCAAGAGAGAGAACACAACAAACGGGGAGAGGGAGAGGGAGAAGCAGGCTCCCCACTGAGCAGGGAGCCCGATGCAGGGCTTGATCCCAGGATCCCGGGATCATGACCTGAGCTGAAGGCAGATGCTTAACGACTGAGCCATCAGGCACCCCTTGTTTTGTTTTGAAGATTTTTAATATATTCATTTGAGAGAGAGAGAGAGAGAGCACAAGCAGGGGGAGCAGCAGAGGGAGAGGGAGAAGCAGGCTCCTCGCCAAGCTGGGAGCCCAACAGGGCTCTATCCCAGGACCTGGAGATCACGACCTGAGCCAAAGGCAGATGCTTAACCATCTGAGCCACCCAAGCGCCCCCTAACCTGATGTTTTTAGTTAACTGCAAGTGGGGAGATAAAAAGGAAGAGGGATCTATATATTAGGAGAAACTTAAGAGATATATCAATGGGTCAAAATGTGTTTTTTTCTTGGGATCCCAATTCAAACAAACAAGCTAAAACAAAAGAAATTTAAAAATTCATAACATCTTTGAGACAACTGGAAATTTGGTATTTTTTTAGGTGTGATAATACTATTATGGTTACATTAAAGAAATTCCTGTCTTTTAGTCATGCCTCTAAGAATTCATCTTTTGAGCTACATATTGAAATATTTACATTTGAAAGATTATATCTGAGACATACTTCAAAATTATACGGAAAAAACATGGAAATGAGTAGAGTTATGAGACAACATAGTCATGATTTGATAATGTTGAAACTGGGTGGCAGGTTCATGGAGATTCATTACACAATTCTTTTATATAGATTTGTACTTTTTCAGAATAAAAAGTAAAAAAAGACGAGTTTGTGGCTTTTAGTTGGTAGTATGTAAAAAAAAGAAAAAAGAAGCAACTTACAAACCCTCCTAGTTAAAAGATAATTTGAGCTTTTTCTGTAGGAGCCACCAGGTTGAGAGAAGCGTGGCCCTCTCCTCTCCACCCCCATGGTGTGTGCTCGTCCACTGATATCCATGTACTGTGAAAAGGGGGAGTCATGTGGCAAAAATGTGACTTTGCTTATTGTGTTCAAGGCTCCCATTCGACCTGATACTGTGAACTCTGTTCACACCAACTTGTGCAAAAACAACAGATGACTATGCTGTCAGTGAATTAGCAGGTCATCAAACCAGTGCTGAGTCTTGGGGTACTGGCCAAGCCGTGGCTCGAATTCCCAGAGTACAAGATGATGGGATTTGCCGTTGTGGCCAGGGTGCTTTTGCAAATACGTGTCATGGGGACTGCACATTTGTACCAAAACACAGAAGCGATATTCCCTCTGCTCTGTCCTGGCTGCATGAGCCTTTCCAATGCTGGCCATGTCTATAGATCCTTGCACTGCGGGAGTTCCTGAACTTCCTTTGTTGGTTGAAGATAAAGTTAGTTGAGGCTGTAAGAAGACCAAGGAGGCTGTTTTGTGTCTTAAGAAACTTGAAGCCTGGGGCGTCTGGGTGGCTCAGTCGGTTAAGCAGCCGACTCCTGATATGGGCTCAGGGCATGATCTCAGGGTCCTGGGATGAAGCCCTGTGTTGGGCTCTGCACTCGGCAGGGAGTCAGCTTGAAGATTCTCTCCCTCTGCCCATCCACCCCCCGACCCCCACTCTCCCTCTCTCTCTCAAACAAATCTGAAAGAAAGAAAAGAAAAGAAAAGGAAGGAAGGAAGGAAGGAAGAGAGAAACTTAAAGCCTGGAATCCACTGAAAAACCTGAGAATCACGTTGAAGCTAAACCTGTATGCAAAGATCATGTGCTAGAACACCATTCTTCACCAGGCCAAGAATCACAAGCTCCAGATGGATAAAGCGGCAGCAGCCTCAGAAGCCAAATCAGATGAGAAGGTGGTTCCAGGCAAGAAGCCCATGGTATGGAAGAAAGGAAAGAAGGCTACTGGTGTTCAGAAGCAGAAGAAACCTTTGGTGGGAAAAAAGGCTGCAGATACCAAGAAACCAGCAGCTGAGAAGAAGCCTGTAGGAAACCCACCAAGGAAGACAAGAAGCCTGCTGCATAAGCTTGAATTTGTTTGTTCCATAAAGGTTGAATCATTTTGGACAGCTGATTTTGAATAAAGACCTGAATAAAGATAAAAAAAAATAATCTGATACCCATACAATGAAACCTACATCAGCTATATGTATGCATTACATGTAACTCTTGGAAATGTGTCCAGAACATAATATGGAATTTAAGAGTAGTGGCAGTTGATATGTTCAGTATGATTATATTTGGGCATACACATGTGCTTCTCCAACAAGCACATAAAAATTGTAAATTTTGTTTCCTACACTAATTTTTTTTAAACGCACATTTAAAATTTTCTCTATTGCACGTGGCTTTTGTATCATTTTCCATTGGTTTCAATGTAGAAGAATGTTTTCCTGCCTCTGGGATAAGAAGTCAGGGTCACGGAAGTTGGTAGTATTGAGTTAGAACGGAGAAACTGAACCATTCAATAGGAGCAGGATTTTCAACAGTTTTAGTGCAAAGAAGTGAAGGAAGAATCGCAAGGTTAAAATGATGTGCTTAGAGGAACAGGTTAAAGGTGGAACAAAAGATCAAGGGAAAGGTAGGCAAAAAATTTAGTGATGAGGTTCATCTGGAAAAACACAAGAAGACATTTCCTATCTTTTCCCCCGGTGGGGTCTCACCTTTCTCCTGAATGGAGGCAGCTCCCAAGGTTCAGCATTGAGCTAACCCGTTCTGGCCGGAGCTGGACCCCATGAGTCCTCTGCTGCTGCCATATAAAGCTTCTGCCCCTGGGGCCCTTCCTGTCCCTGTAGAACTAGGATCCAGGGACAATGGGATCAATTTGACCAGGGTGATATATGCGGAGAGTTCTAGAGCTTCGATCCCAATATTAATGGGGAACATAGAAAAGCTGGACAGAAAGCAGTTTCCCTTGACCTGCAAGGACGGGGAATTAAAGCACATAGAATATCGGGAGGGGACGCACTCTGCCAGTGCATCTTGGCCACTTCCCTCACTACATGTGGGAGGAGATCTCACCTCTCTTATCGCTCTCTGGAGACAACACCTGCCTTCTGATGACAGATCATTTCTTCTTTATCTCACCTGTCCTTGGGGATTATCCAGCTTCCTCGACAAGCCCTCCCAGTCCAGGAACCATGTCCTCCCTATACTCTGGGCTGCTCCCGCACCCGGGCCTGCAGCTCCTCGGGCAGGATGGTCAGGAACTGCTCCGGCACCAGCAGCTCCACGATCTGCTCCTTGCTGTGCGTCTCGGGCCGCAGCCACTGACGGCGGAGCTCCCAGAGCTGGACTTCTGAGGCCCAAGGGAATCCTCCCAGCAGAACTGCCTTAAGTTTTGTCTGAAGGACTCCTGTCAGAAGCACCATTTCTGTGCAGGCTAGATTCTGTAACTAGTTGACATTCCTTCTGTTCTGCAGCCCGAAAGGGCTGGACTGAATCCATTCCTGGGCAAAACAGCTCAGAAGACTGGCTCACTACAACAGTAGGGGGAGCTTAAGGCTCATGATAACACATAACACATCACTGTTAACAGAGCTATCAACTCCAAACTAGGAACATATTTAGTCAGAGTGAATTGCTGTCATCTGGCCAATGATTTGAAGGTAAAGATGCTCTGTAAAAGATAAAACAAGCACAAAATGTCATTAGAATAATGTCAGAAAATTAAGTAAAAGACAATTCAGTTACTTTAGGATTAAAGAACAATACTAGTGACTTTTAGATCTAGAAACTTCAGTGACATATTCAGATAATGTGAAATATTCAGATAATGAAGAAAATGCAAACAGCTTTGCCTGCTTAAATTGCATGTCACAGATTTAGTCAGTTATATTTACAAATCAACTGCTAGATACTTTCAAAGGCATCTTTAGTTTCAGAAAAGAACAGTGTGTGTGTCAATCAAATGTGTCCCACATTTGAGTCAGGGGGCCCAAGTCAATTAACCAAGGCCTGCTTTGTACACAAACCCAGGGAGTATTTTTCAGTCCTTTGCTTACCAGATGCCCCTGCAGCACCTAACACTGCTAGCCACTCCCAATCTTATAAGAACTATAATCCTCTGGCTGTTTTCCATGAGTTGGTTTCTGTAAAGTGCTTAGACCAATGCCTGGCACTCAGTATTATATAAGGGCTTGTCAAATAGCTCATCTTTAAGTCTACTTTATGGCTCTTCTTCAGCTTGCCAAGAAATGTCTGGTTACCCGAAGTTGAGACCCAGCCTTCTTCTCATTCCATATTCATTCTGGGCAACCTTGTCTATTCAGTAGTATGAGACCTGAAATGTTGTCACCTAAGAACTCCTAAATCTGATTCTCTTACTCCAGTCTTGCTTTGGAACTCCAGACCATTATAGCCCAATGGTGTATCTCAACACCACCAAAAATTAACTCATTTTCCTCTCATAATCAATGCCTCCTCCAGAATTACCCATTTCTTTTTTTTAACCCATTTCTTTTAAAACAGCACATTTGTGGGGCACCTGGGTGGCTCAGTCAGTTAAGCATCCAACTCTTGATCTTAGGTCAGGTGTTTGTTTGTTTGTTTTTTAAGATTTTATTTATTTATTTAACAGAGACAAAGCAAGAGAGGGAACACAAGCAGGGAGAGTGGGAGAGGGAGAAGCAGGCTTCCCTGTGTAGGAGGAGCCTGATGCGGGGCTCGATCCCAGGACCCTGGGATTATGACCTGAGCCAAGATCAAGAGTCAGATCCTCAAAGTCTCAACCAACTGAACCACCCAGGGGCCCAGCCCTGACTATATTTTTTTTAAAAAGCTTGTAGTACTGGGGTGCCTGGGTGGCTCAGTCGTTGGGCGTCTGCCTCCAGCTCAGGTCATGATCCCAGGGTCCTGGGATCGAGCCCCGCATCAGGCTCCCTGCTCGGCGGGAAGCCTGCTTCTCCCTCTCCTGCTCCCCCTGCTTGTGTTCCCTTTCTCGCTCTCTCCGCCAAATAAAAACCAAATGTTAAAAAAAAAAAAAAAAAGCTTGTAGTACTAAGTATATGCTACACAGTGTGCTCCGCACTTTTCAATCTTTGGTCTTCAAGTCTAGTTAAATCCACCTTTTCCACATAATTCTATTCCACATCTCTTCACTTCCATAGCCACCACTTTACTTTCACCAACTTACAGTATTGGTTCTTTCTAGGACAACCGCACGTCTCTTCTCTCTTGCTTCCAGTCTTGCCCCCTTCCAATTCATTTACCATTTCTCCTAGAATATTTCTAGAAGCCTAGTAGGATTACATTACTCCCCTGCTTAAAGACAGGTAGCCCTCTCTGTAGAGGAGCCCTTCCCGTCTACGGTGCGATGCCGCAGGTCCCCGGGCGCTAGCTTGTCGCTGAACTCAGCTACTGCGGCGGCCGAGCAGGACAGCGGAAGCCCTTGGCCGGGTCTCTCTGCAAGGCAGTGTGCATACAAACATTTTATGGGCTGACATTGAAAATGGAGCAGCACACTGCCTTTTAACGTCTAAGTTCCCCGGAACGTTGCAGTCATTGGCGCTCTTCCTCTGGCCCCGGCGACACCACACCCACGTTCCCGCCGGCGCAGCGTTCTGCGCTGCCGCACGCCATGGGCTCCCCGCTCGTGCCGTCTCCTACCGCCTCCGCAGGGACGTGACCCTAGCTCGCCACCCCCACCTCCGAGGGCCCTCGAACGTGAAGGCTGCTCCGTGCAGGGGCTGCCGCTGGACCGTAAGTTATGTGTCTCCTCACCGCACGGTAAGGCGAAGAGTGCCGCTTCTAGCTGGCTACTCCCGTTCTGAGCCCTAGGGCCCGGCACATCCATGCACCGGTCTGTGTGTACTTGATGGACGTGCCAACTCTCGTCCTCGCCACTGAACTCACACGGTACTTCCCCCTGTTCCGCAACAGTCTGTGCGGGGCACGTGACCCCATTTTAGGGGCCAGGCCTTTCACGGCACAACACGCCAGACCGTGGCCGTTACCCTAGGAGACCCGCGCAGGGAACAGAAGGCCGCGTCCAGACGGCGGGCCTCCCCGCGGCTACACCGCGTCCGCTAACCCCCGCGAGCGCCGACACGGGGCCGCCCGGATCCCGGGGACCCACGCAGGGAGAACCGCCGAGCCCAGCGCTAGAGCTGCCCGCGGAGCGGGCGCGTCTCTCGTCCAACCCCGCGACGGCAGCCCGGAAGTACGTCACGACGCCCGGGCGCGCCTCCTCGCCGCCTCTCTAGGAAGCCTAGAGGACCCGTCGTCTCGGTGGTGGCTCGGCTCCCACCTCCAGCCGACCCTCGCGAGCCCCGCGGCCCGTGAATGCCTCAGGCGGGCGGTCCGCCGGGCGGGGCCCCACTCCGCCGGGGCCCCCAGCTCTCCAGCCCCCGAGGACACCTGTCCGCTCTCACGGAACGCTGCGATGCCCTCCGTTCTCAGGTCCCTGCAGATCCCCCTTGTGCGGATCCCACTGTCCACTGGGCCCGCAGGGGCGAAGAGTAATGAGCAGCGCCCTGAGCACAGCGGCCCCCGCGGGCTTGCCCTCCGCCGCCCCAAGCCCTGTCCTTCGGAGCAAGGGAACCAAAGATCCCCGCTGGGCTGGACCGCAGAAGGCGGAGGGCACGCAGGGCTGCTGACGCGGGGGCGGGGCCGGCTGCGGCGGTACGGCCGAGTACACGGGTCTGGTCCCCATCCATCCCAGCTGCTTAGGAGGGCTCACCGTCGGCCTGATTCCGGCAAGTTCTCTTCTAACGCCCGGGACTCCCACTTTGCTCCACCGCTTACACCAGTTCATCCTACACACGGAGATGCTCCTTCCGCCTCCGGGAGCCGACCCATCTTGTCTGGTAAACCATGATCTCGACAGGCTCACATGCGGGAACTGGCTATCTTAACAGTGTTCTTACTGTTGTTTCGGGGGATCCTCTTAAGGGGAATGTGCTTTTTGTAGGCTTACCCACCCTTTCTTACCTAATCCAGTAGATGTGTTAACAGGAATTATTTCAAACCAGGAAGGTGGTGGCTACACCTCCATCTCCCACAGCCCCCTTCATAGATGTTCTGCCTTAGCTTTCAGGAGCAGATTGTATTCTTTCTGATTCTAACTCATCTTCCATCTCCTCAGCTGGAAATGTCCAAACTGGGAAAACCACCCATCCTGTCTTACCTCTTGTCTGAGTGTAATTATTAATACCAATCCCTTTCATTCTCAAATGTCCCAGATTGGGCAATAATTTATATATAGTTACCTTATGTCTGAGAACCACCGATAAGCTAGCTAAAATGCAGATTCCCAGATCCTGCTCTCAGAAACATTCAGCCAGTCTGGGGTAGTGCCCAGGAAACTGGAGTTCAAACAGCGCAGGTGATTCTAACACAGGTATATATTCAGAAATAGTGGCTTCATCATAGGGCAGAGACGTTCACATGGAAAACTGGGTGTGGCTCCACAGAGACCTGAAAACAAAAATCAGTGATTTTATACACTGTGCTCTTCTCCTTCTTTTTATGTAAAGCACTGAAATGGGTGAGGAGTGAAGAGCAGTGGGACTGTTTTCACTGCTAAGACACGTGGACTCACTGAGAGACAGAGCGATCTCTAGTAATAGCTATTATAAAGATAAAGCACATTTCTTGGTAACAGTGTCTCTGCATCTTTTTATTTTTCCTTCTCTTTGGTCACCATTTGTTGGTCTAATCCAGTTTTAACGTGTAATTTTGCCTGTCTGAGTCCTTTTTATGTTCTCACATTTTGTTCTTCCCTTTTCTCTTTCCCTCCTATTTTGTTGTTGCTGTTGCTGCTTGGAGATGCCTAAAATGTGTCCCTTGGAGCAAGTGTAAGTGTCTGTGAAACTACATATAATTCACAATGATCTCTGTTCATAGTTTTGTTCCTAAAAATGTTAATGCAATTAAAAATAGATCACTACAAGTGCTTAACGACTTTGGGCTTCACTTTTCTCATGTAGGTATGAAATGGGTAAATTCAAAATTTCTTCCTAAAGCTAACATTCTCTGATTCTGTGTTAAAAAGCCCCTATACCACAACAAAATACTTTCAATGATCCCATCATGCTTACCGAACAAAGACCAAACGCACAGGAAAGTGTTCAAGGACCTCTCAATCTGCCCCCCACTCCTGTGCTTCCTTGTAAGAGCTCCATGACCTGCCAAACTGGAAAACGCAGGGCTCTTGAGCATCTCTTTGTTGGGCCTTCCTCACCCTGTTCCCTCTGCCTAAAATACTTTACTCTATCCTCCATCTCCTTCTACAAATAATCTACTTTTCTCTCAACTTCTAACTCAACATTTAACCAATTATACATATGTATACTGGTGTAGATTTTATATTTCAAAATTGCTCCTGAGAAAGTACTTCATATTTTATAATTTTGACTTTAGATACACTTTATTAAAGATTTTTTTTTGAGAAAGTGAGCAAGCACGAGTGGGGGTAGGGGCCGAGGGAGAGGAAGAGCAGGAAGCTGAGCAAGGAGCCCAAATGGGGCTCGATCATGGGACCCTGGGATCATGACCTGAGCTGAAGGCAGATGCTTAATCGACTGTGCCACCCAGGTGCCTGGACTTTAGATATACTTTTATTTTAAAATATCCTCAGAGATAACTTTTGTCTTACATAGGAAAAATATAAAACAATCTTCCACTATAAATTATGTTTTTTAAAGGAAAAGTATTGTCACATACAGAAAATAGGAGTCATTTCCAAATACAAGATGTGGACAGAGACTTGGTTCTCCTTTAGTCCTGACTTCAAATAAAAATTACAGTGAAAGAGAGTCTTCAGGGCTCTTATCTACAGCTCTAGACAGGTGTTATTTGCAAATTGTCAGCCAATTTCTTAACATACGGTGTCCAATCTCCTAACAGTGCTCAGAGGGGTGCTGGACTATCCCTCAAGAACCAATAAGGCATTTTAATTGGATTTGAATTAATATTTCTTACACCTTGCTGGGCTGTAAAACTGACTACTCTTTCAGATTGGACTTTCAAAGGCACAGGGAGGGCTGGTTACTGGTTTACGGAGCACCTGAAAGGAGATCAATGCCAGAGACTTCATGGGTTGAATGACAACAGCCAGGGTAGAAACAGAAAAGAGAGAAGTGGGGGTAATGCAGGAATGTAAAAGGGAAACAACAGACAGATACAGCATGAGGCCCTTACAGGCCATTGCCCACAGGATACAGCCAACATCAGTGTACTACTAATGACAAATGTGCATCCCAGATAAGAGAATTAGCATAAGCGAATCAGAACAATTAGTATCAGAGAACAAGTAGTTAGTTTGGTGAACTGTAAGTCATTTAATCATGTTAACCATCACTGCATTCTAAGTGGTATATGTCTCTACAGCATATGTAACATCTTTTGTTTCTTGGTATTTCATCAGTTGTTAAGAAAATTTAGAATTTTTGAGAAGCTGTGAACAAAACAAAACAAAACAACAAGCACAAAACAAACCAAACATCCAATATTCAACTGCAGGTGTAAAAACAGTCCATTAGAAATACATCCTTTAAAATCCTGATCTGTTCATATTTTAAATCTTTGAAGAGCTCATATAATAGAATTATCCAAACATGCTGCTTCGGCATGTGCAGAGGCATTTGAGATACTTACAAACTCAGATTATAATAGTATACGTATTATGTTATTATATGGAATATATATTTACCGGAGAAGTTGATTTTATTTCAAACTTAAGTCTACTATATTTTCCTCACTTTAAAATCCGTATGTATTTCTTTTAGAAATAATTTAACCTCAAGACACACTAAAATACACTCTTGAGAAAATTTAAGATTTTTGATTAGACCTATAATTAGCCACAAATGGCAACAGAAATGGTTTGATATGTTATGACTAAGGATATATAATGGAGCCAAATACACGAGACTGAAAACCACCCCCATCATTTCTGCATTTCTCTGTAGAAGAATTAGGTGCAACTATAGTGGCCCAAGCTCTGTTTCCTAGCTCATGTGGAAGTTGTTATTTTAAACAGAGTTTGGCTTGAACCACATTTGGGAAGAATGAAACAGTCTGTGACCTTTTAAAGTAGTGACTGTGCATCTATGGGAGTGTGTTAAAAACTGGGGCACCAGCAAATGAAATACTGTCCACTTGTAAACAGAACGAGGAGGCTCTGTTACTCTAAGGACTGCACTGTTTCACGAACACAGCAAGGTGTAGAAAAGTGCCAACAGTATGCCATCTTTCTGTATAATAAGAGGAAATAAGGTGATATAGAGTCACGTTTTCTTGTATTTACATAAAGAAATACTGAAGATACATAAGATACTAGAAAAATGGCCACATATAAGGGAAAAGATAGGCTCCCTTTTTAATGTTGTTCTGATTCTTGAATTGGATGAAGAATGAGTTATCTTTCTTGAAATGTCCCTCTAAGTAAATTAAAATTTAAAGGTTAAAAATAATCGGGTTGCCTGGCTGGCTCCGTCGATGGAGCATGCAGCTCTTGATCTTGGGGTTGTGAGTTTGAGCCCCACGCTGGGTGTAGAGATTACTTAAAAATAAAATAAAGTGCCCCAAATGAGGGGTAAGTGGTAAGTCTTTCCTGAAACTCCACTGTAAATTGAACAGAGGAGCTGTGCATTTATTGAAACACACGGATGGGAGGCTTTGTTGAGCTAAAAAGCAAAACCTCAGTGCCCTCTAAATCTTTTAAGTTCAATACGCTAGTAATTTCTATTTGGAGATAAAATCCTTCCAGTGGCTTAGTAGAAAGAGCACTAGGGAGTTAGAAGACAGGATTCTAGCTCCAGCTCCATTAACTAGTTGTCCGTATAATCCTACAGCTACTTCCCAGAGCCTCCGTTTCTGCATCAATCATGTAAGGGGACAGAGAAGTGATCTCTAAGGTCCCTTACAGTGTTTCTATTATTGTTAAGTGACCCGCTGTGTATTCGGTACTCAGATCCAGATTGTCGTCACCAGAGATTTTCGTCACCAGAGATTTTCCATTTCTTTGTGTCCTGGGCTTAGTATAAACACTCAATTACTGTTAAGGGAAAGAAGTTTTTTTTTAATGCATAATCTTGGTGGTAATCAATAGGTAATGCTGAGCAGCATGGAGCTTATAAAAAGCAATCAACATGGAAGACTGATCATAGTTTTCTACTTTTGTATGTGTTTGAAATTTTCCATAACTAAGAGTTAAAGAAAGCAAAAACTGAAAATGCTTTCAAGTCACAGGAAAAATGCAGAGGCCTGTATTTTCCTAACGAAGATCAGAAGTGAGATATCAGATTTTTAGCTAAGTTTCCTGATCTGCACAAATTTAAAATCTTGATCAGTATCTGCTACGTCCAGCCACTGAGGTACTAGTAACACATGGCTGCTTCAATTTCTTGGATCCTAACTGGAGACTGAGTTCCTGGAACTCTACAGAGTTCTCCTGCAGGGAAAAGCCTTTTGTGTATTCAAGGGAGGATTCATCTGCCCCCTGTTGTAGGTCAAAAAGAAATTCTCATATCTTATGAAAACAGACAATAGTCAAATCGTTTACAGGTTTTACTGCAATTATTTTTAAATTAATTTTTAAATACTAGTTAACATAATTTTGTGTTCAGGCAGCATATAACTTTATTTAAAAACTTTTTTAAAAAGTTTCTTAAACTTTAAGAAGTTTTCCTGAAGTACACCTAGAAAACTTCTTGCACAGATGTGTGTCAGACTGGAGACTCTGTTGATAAAGTCAACACAACAAGATTCAGTACTGCAAAGCGTGGATGTTGTTGACCCCAGAGAACTCGACAGACATACTTAAGATATAATGCTTCTCTCAGGATGAAAAATATGGACAATTTCACTGGCTCTACCTGGAGCTTCCTCAAGAGGATTAAACTGTTTTTTTACCATTACTTACTTCAGGGACAAAGTAAGAGCCTACCCTGCGACCGCGCTAGTGGTCGGACGTCAGGAAAGGTTGCCCTACCTGTTCCAAGGGGCCGGCTGGACCCAGCACGGGGTGGATCTTCCGATGCTGAATGAGGTTGCAGTGGTAAATGAAGTTCTTGCCGCATTCCTCACATTTGTAAGGCCTCTCCCCGGTGTGAATTCTCTGATGCTTAATGAGGACAGAACGTCGACTAAAGCTCTTACTGCACTGGCCGCACTGGAAGGGCTTCTCCCCCGTGTGGATCCTGAGGTGGTGGAAGAGCCCAGCGTTCTGACTGAAGGCCTTGCCACAGATGCCGCACTGGTAGCGCTTCTCCCCGGTGTGGAGCCTCTGGTGCTGGAACAGGCCTGACCGCTGGCCGAAGGCCCGCCCACACTCATCGCACTCGTAGGGCTTCTCCCCCGTGTGGGTTCGCTGGTGCTCGATAAGGATGGAATTCTGGGTGAAGCTCTTCCCACATTCACCACAGATATACGGTCTCTCCACAGAAGAGCCTGCCCGCTGCCTTTCCAATCTGCCCTCGTGGTCACAGGTGTCTGCACATTCAGGCATCCGAGCAGTACCACCATTCAGTTTTTGAGGTACTTCCACAAGAGATCTCATTTCTTTAGAAAGCTCCCTCTTTGGGGCTAACTCCACATTCCAAGTCCCAGCCTCATCACCTGAAATAATAAGTGGATCATGTGAATGTTAGCTTTCCAAAGGAAAAAGGGAAACACCAGCCGGGAGAGAGAGTGGCAGGGGACGAATAAGCACGGTTTCTGTTTACGTTCACTTTGCCCTCAGGAAGAAGACAGGCTGAACTGTACTGCCCGTGTGCCGTCTGCCTCTTCCGCCAGACCACAGACCTTCTGAGGGCAGGGAGCACGTCCACCTTGCTTGTCACGGTCTCCCCAGGACCAAGCACACCGCCTGGTGCACAGCAGACACTGAACACACGTGCTGAACTGATGGACACTCAGGGAGTGAGGGAGGCCTCCTGAGGAAATTCTGATCCTCACCGATCTCCTGAACCGGGCACAGCTCTCGCGAATTGCCTGGATGCAGCTCTTCCAAGGGCTGGAGCCGGCCACCTGACAGCTCCTGGGCTGCTTCCCGAGTTGCCTCCTCCTTCGCAAACTCTCCCTGTTCACAAGCGTAGGTTGGGACCTGGTGGAAATTAAGGACAGTAAGGAATCAAACATCACAGACACCTTGTAAGGGGGCCTTCCCAGGTCCACCGTGTAGGAAAAGAAGAACCAAGAAACCAGCAACAAGAAAGAGGCAGAGAGATGGAGGGCCCACAACAGGCCTCGTGAGGCACAAAGAAAGCCTTCTCCTCTTCGTCTTGCGCTGAAACCCCACCCTTGCTCCTGCAGGTGTGAACCTCTGTCCTCCCCTCTCCCACCTGCTCTCCCGGCTCGTCCAGTTCGCTCTCCAGGTCCTCCAGGGCAGTCACCGCCTGCTCCCCGCTCTCGGGGTGCTGCTCCCGCACCCAGGCCTGCAGCTCCTCGGGCAGGATGGTCAGGAACTGCTCCAGCACCAGCAGCTCCACGATCTGCTCCTTGCTGTGCGTCTCGGGCCGCAGCCACTGACGGCAGAGCTCCCGGAGCCGGCTCAGCGCCTCGCGGGGCCCAGGAGTCTCCTGGTAGCAGAACTGCCGGAAGCGTCTACGAAAGAGCTCTCTGGTATGAGGGTTCTCTCTCAACAGGCCAGATTCCTGCCCAGAAGCATAACCCCCCTCCTCTTCTACCTTTACTGCCAGAAGTCCTTCCTGCATCTCTGAAGTCTGAAGGGCCAAGGCTGTGGCCATCTTAGGCTTAACGCTTCAGAAGGAGTCTATTCTCAATGATTCCTCTTTGGTCTTTTCTTCTAGAAATCCCAAAATCTAAAAAATAATTGCAGAGAAAAAATATTAAAATGTTGAAAATCTTTTCTGCTGGCAGGCACAGGGAGTATCTGTAACAAAAGCAGTCACTGTCTAGTGAAGAACACTGAATGCACGAGTAATGGTAAGGACTACGCATTTTTTTTTCATTATGTTACCGACAGAATGGGAGAAGATATTTGCAAATGACATATCACATAAAGGGCTAGTATCCAAAATCTATAAAGAACTCATCAAACTCCACACCCAAGGACTAGCAAATTCTGATGCAGGTGATACTGGAAGGCAAACAGAAACTGAATACCTCTCCTCCCCCAACTGGGTACACACACGTGTACACACACACACACACACACACACACACACACACACACACGAGTTTTATCAAAGGAAGGGACCATTTTGATCATCCTGAATGAACTGTCTCAAATAAATCAGCTGGAACATATAGGGTTTCCATTTGAATGGCAAGATAGGAGACCCAGAGGAAGTTTTCAATTGAATGGAGGTAAACCAGCATTTTGGTGCCAAGTGGTTGCAGAGGACGCTAAGAAGAGGAGAAAAGGGAAACAAAATGGAGAAGGGAGAGAAAGGAAAGAAGATAATAGGAAAGAATGAGGAGCAAAGGAAATGCTCTTGGGGAAGAGGGGCCCCGCCCCCCCAGTCAGGTGAGGCGTGGAGGACAGAGGGCTGTTGGGGTGGGAGAGGTCTGGGGTAGAGGCCTGGTCCTCCGGGCACAGCCTCCGCAGGCAGTGTTTCTAGGTGGAGATAAGAGATAAAGATAAAATAAGATCATGAATAAAGAGCACAAGAGGCTGGGAGCTTGGTAAATTCTCAAATCTTGTAAATTACCACTATTGTTATTTTCCTTATAAATTTTGTTGAAAGATTAAATGAATCCTAGTGATCAAAACACTATGGCAAAAGAATCAGAAAGTAGTCAACTGAACTGGTCTTGAATCAGAGATGTTAAAATGAAAGAAATACTGATTCTGGTATTTTAAAACAGAGGTAGACTTTGAGCTATTTCTTGTCCTTTAATTTCTTGGAAATTGTTTATGTTTGAATCTCCTTGAGGATGGAGAGTGGGCAACTGTGCGTAAAATAAAATTAATGCTCATAAAGAGACAACTGTCTATGACCACTTAAAGCTTACAATAAAATCTTAACCAGGATAGTAATTAATGAAAGCAATTTTCTTTGTAAGATTTACTTATTTACTTACTTACTTACTTATTTATTTGAGAGAGAGAGCACACAGAAGGAGAGGGAGAAGCCCGACTCGGGACTCAATCCCCAGGACTCCAGGATCATGACCTAAGCCGAAGGCAGACACTTAACTTAACTGATTGAGCCATCCGGGTGCCCCATGAAAGCAATTTTCTGAAAGAATATTATGTAGCCTAGTGATTTTGACCTGGACCCTCAGTAAGAAATATTTTATAATGAAAAAAAAAGAAACATTTTATATTGAGACCCAGAACACCCATATACATGTGCACATGAATGTATGTTTGTGCATGAGATACACAGGCACACAAGAAAATGAAATAATTTCACAAAACACTATGTATCCTGAATTATGTGACACATACTACTATTTCTTAAATCTTGTTTTTTTTTTTTAAACCCCAAAACAAAACACCCTGGTCATAGCCCACCACATAGACTTCGTGATCCACATGAGTCATGACCTAGAGCTTTAAAAAGTTTCCAAATTTAAGTAAAATGGTTATAATTCACTGTAAATTGACTGCAATTCACTGTAAATATAACCCAACACTATTCTTAGGTATTGGCATACATTGCAAAAAAAAAAAAAAAAACTAAGGACAGTGTATTTAAGTTATTATTGAATACAGCTCACACTATAAGAAAAGTTAAATCCATATTGCCACTATTAGTTATACTTATTAAGGAGGGAAAAACCACTGGGGTGGGGAAGCATCCTTCTGTGTAATCTGCAAACATAATCCCCTCCACAAACTTCTAACACTTCTGACTTCATTGACGTCTACAGTCACCACCCCAGGAAGAGTCAAGAGGGTTTTTCCCTCCAAAGACAGGATCCCTGAGCTCTTATTTTTCCCCCAACTTTTCTTGGTGCTGACTCACTAACACTTTGAGTTCCCCATTATCTTTTTCTTTCAAAACTTCTCACATCACTCATTCATTTAGCAAATATTTATTCAGAGCCTATTATATTCCAGGTATTGTTCTAGGCACTAGAAATGGCCAACAAAACAAAGTCCCTACTTTGATGGAATTTACATTCTAATCACAATAGTAGTAACAGCTGACATTTATATTGCTTTTAAGGTACCAGGCATTGTACTAGATGTTTTACATATATTAACTCCCTGACTCCTTGAAACAACCGTAAGGTTTTGTTATTATCCACATATTGACAGATGAGAAAACCGAGACCCAAAGAGTTTGAGTCGCTTGCCCAAGGTCTCACATGCAGTTAGTGGTGAAGCTGAATTTCCAACCCAGCAAATGTACTTGAGAATTCACAGTCTCAACCACCACCCCACTGTCCCTCCTGTACGTGGGCAGGAAGGGAACAGGATGAAGGAAGGAGCCGATGGGCACAGACAGTAATGAAGCAGATGTCAAACAGTGATAAATGCTCTAGAGAAAGATAGGGGTAAAGGAGATGGGGAGCTGGGGGAAGAAAGGTCTCTGTATGGAGGAGTCAGGGAACTTTACCTTGCTGATAAGGTAAAGTCTGAGCAGAAACCCGAGGGACGTGAGCAGCAGTCACGTGACTATCTGGAGAAGGACAGTTCCGTGCAAAGGGAAGCTTGAGTCCTTGGAGGTAGAAGCATGCCTGGATTCTTCCAGGAACGGCCAGTTGGACCACCGACGTGGCTACACAGAGAAACAAAAGGTACGGTCATGAGAGATAAAAGCAGGCTGGGAACAGACTGAGATGCCACCTTAAGGACTCTGCTCTGGTCTAAGACACGTGGAAAGCCATCAGAGGTTTTCAGCACAGGGGTGACCAAATTTTACTTACATTTACTATAAAAGTATAACTGGCTGCTGTGACAACAGACTTTAGGAAAAGTGGAAGCAGGGACAGAAGCTATCTAATAATCTAGGGAGCAATGAGGGAGCTTAAAGCATGGTCTGCAGAGTTTGTTCTAGGGTGTGGAAGTTCTGGGGTGCAAATATCAAATAGGTCAATTAAGAATATGTGCTCTCAATTAACTGAGCATGCGTTCAAAGGATTAAACACCAACTTCTGCCCTCTTGCTCTGTCAACTTTCTAGGCCCTGAAAAATGTCTTTTTCTTATTTGCTGCCCATCCACTTTGGTTTTAAGTCAAAGATTTTCTATTCACAGAAAATGCAGCTGAAGATTTGAGCTCTGCTCATAGAAAATCATTTCTGCTATATGGTGTTTCAAATCTTTACTCAGTTTCACTATGATCAAGCCTCTCTATTCTGTGTATAGTCTAGGCTCCCTTTTGCTTTCCTCTCTTGATTTTGCTTCTGTGGGGTGGCCTAAAATCCCACGGCCTCACACAGCACATCGTAGCTCCTCTTTCAACCCAGTGCCTCTAAAAGGCTTCCCAATTGTTTTACAATCCTGCCCTCCTGGTCACAAACAGTTTTTAATCTCTTTTAGGTTCACCATCCCATTGTACAGGTCTTCCTCGACTTACAATGGGGTTATGTCCTCATGAACCCATCAAAAGTTGAAAATATCACACGTTGAAAGTGTACCAAATACACCTAATCTACCAAACATCATAGCTTAGCCTCATCTACCTTAAATGTGCTCAAAACATTTATGTGAGTCTAGTCGGGCAAAATCGTCTAACACACATCCTATTTCGTAATTAAGTGTTGAAAATCTCACGTACTTTACTGAATATTGTACTGAAAGTGAGAAACAGAATGGTTGTATGTATATATCAGTTGTTTCTCATACTTTTTTCTAGAGAAAAGATCAAAACTCAAAATTCGTAGTACTGAACACGAATCACTTTCCCATCATCGTTAAGCTGAAAAATCATTCTTCATCGTTGGGGACCATCTGTACGTGCCAGTATATAATTAGCATAATAATCTCTCGCACTTAAAAAAAACACATCTGCATTTTAAAGCTGGTTTCTCCTAGAGCCCCAGCAGGCTCAATACTCCCAAATCTACGGTGACTCTCAGGGCGAAATGCTCTTTACCAAGGATAGGCATGTAGCTGAAGCCCAAGCAGCAGCGATACAAAGGTGTCTTTATCGTAACGTATCCCCACGCTCTCCCCTCTGATGTCACCATTTAAGGCCCCCACTACTTACTGGATGCATACCCCCACATTCCCAAGCCTGGCTCGAGACTAGTCACATCTCTAGCCTCACTTGTGGGGCCTCACTCTTCTTTTCCTCTATTCCACATGCAAAAACTGCCAGCTCCGCTTAGGCTTTTCTTTTCACTATTCTTTCATCAGGCTTTCCTCATCCCTGGTCTATGCCCATGGTCTTCCCTTCTGCATTTATCCAAACCCTACCCAATTTCTGCACCTTGACTTGAATCTCACATCCTCTGAGGTCTTCCTCACCCATTCCATCCACCCTCTTCCTCTTTCCAGCTCTTAGATCATGAGCCCCACCTTTTACCCTCAGTCACAATCTATCCTGCGGTTACTTCCCATGGTAAAAAAAAAAAAAAAAAAATCCAAAACATACAGAATAAAGAATTCCTTCATCAGAAGTAGACACAACGATTAGAATGGATCCTTTCAGACTTTCTCTGTCCATCTTTGAGTGCACACACACACACACAACACACCTCTTATCTTTCTTATTTATCTACAATAAGTAGAAGGTAGTATGATGTAGCAGATCTAGTTGTGAATCCTGACTTACCAACAATGGGATCTTAGGCAAGTTACCTGAGTGATTTTTCTGACCCTCAATCTCATGTACAAAATGAGGACAACCATTCCGTAAAGCTGTCAAGGGTAGTAAATGAGGATAATGCATATAAACTGGTTTTGCACAAAGACTGGCACATAATAACCTTGCAAATTAACCACCTTCTAAAGAAATAATGTGCAGTTTTTGGTTTAAGGCTTAATCAATCGCAGCTACCTACCCTTGGGGCCAAGGTCATGTTTTCCGCTGCCCAAAGCACAGCGTGGTAAGTGGGTGGGGAAACGTGCACTACACAGGTGAACACAAATAAAATAGCTGTTTCGTCAAGTTTGCAGACATACTCTCAAAGACGTATTCGTCTTCAGATTATTCTTCTCCAATCTTAAATCCTAACTGGAAGCTCAGGACTACTGAGGTCCAAAAGGTGCAGGATCAGATTCAAGTGAGAGAAGTAAGCTCCTGGGTGGTGGCTGTAACGCTAATGCAGAGTCAGCAGAGCAAACAGACTCTGGAGCCAGACAGCCTGGAGGTGCACCCTGGCGACAGCAGCTGCATGACCCTGGGGAAGTTACTTGACCTCATCTTCCTCGACGTTAAAAAAGGGGGCAGATGGGGGAGCTTACATAAGAGCAGTGCCTACCACCTAGAGTCATGAGAAGTGACTACCTTAATACTTGTAAAGTGCTTTCAACAATGCCTGCCTGGAACATACCAACTGCTATTTAAACATTCGCTACAAAAAAGGAAAATCAACACAAGAGCCTCTGCCGTCGGTGCACCAGACTACGAGAGGCTGCGGCGGAATGTAAAACGATCCCTGCTCATAGCTTAAAGTCGACCCCCAGCAGGGACCCCGGACGCGGGGAAATACCCGCGGAGGCCGACGGGGTGAGCGCCGAGCCGCCCGGACCCCCAGCCAGGCGGTGGACGGACGGGGAAGAGACCCCGGGGCGGGGGCGGGTCCGGGCCGCCGCCCCGCCTCCCACACTCGTCCGGCGGCGCGGCGCTCACACCCGCCCCTTCGAAGGCCCTCGGCGGAGCCCGACTCCAAAGCTCACCGGGCATCCGCGGGAGGAGAGGCCACCAGGCCAGACGGCACCACCTCCGAGTCCTCGCCAACCGCGGCCCGAGGAGAGCCAGGCTACAAAGGCCGGAAGTGCGTCATGCGGCCCGCCTCCCGGGGACGACGCTTCCGGCCGCGTTCCTTCTAGCGAGCTCGGAGGGCTCACGCCTCGGTGATCGCCTCGCGGAGCCTCCTCTCCAGGTGGAGTGAGGCGCTGGGCGGCCCCAGGGGGGCGATTGTAATAACAGCCAACTTAGAGTTTTGCACATATTAACTCATTCATTCTAAATAGCAACCCTGTAAGTTAGCTGCAATTATCCCCATTTAACAAATGAGGAAACTGACGTGCATTCCTTCCGCATTTGTTGTCATTCCTGAAAAGAAATCCTTTTTGTGCACTTTACTAAATTGCACAAGATAGTCCAGGCTCCTTTTATACTTTCTCTGCTCTAGACCTAGAATCCACCATTGTTCCATGAAGCTCTGATTCCTTTCAGTGGAGAACGGTATACAGAAACCAATAGGTAAGCTCATTGGCACTGCTTCTAGGGCCCTATCAATGATTATATTTTCTTCAGGATTTTATAGGATGTCTCCGATTCAAGTACAATTCCACGTAGTTGTTTTTTTTTTTTTCATTTACACCATTGCACGTTTGTTTTTCCTTTTCCTTTCTGTTTTTCCCCACGGAAAACCTGGTTCCCAACAGCATCCATATATATTCATCCAATTTGCTCTATCTTAAAATATAAGCAAAATAGTTTCACATTTACAGTGCCGGTATCACTAGCAACAATATACCTGATGTGTGGAGTTCAAAATTTCTTTGCTTGCTTTGCTTGTTTATTGGTTCTTGAAATATATCCCATTAGGGGGAGTATAGTCAGAGTACTGTATACATACACTAATTTGAATTCTTTTCTCTTTACAGTTGTTATAAACTTGATATACAGTTAGGATCATTTGTTTCTGTTTGTTTTTCTATTTCAGGGTTTGTTTTCCTTTCATCCCTTTTCATTTCTTTTCTGAACATGCAAAACACTTAGTTCAAAATCTAAATGTTATAAAAGGATATATCCAGTTTTGCTTCCATCCCTAACTCCCTTTACTCCATATACAGTTGACCCTTGAACAACATGGGTTTGAACTGTGTGGGTTCACTTATACACAGATTTTTTTGAATAAATACAGTACAGTTCTATAAGTGTATTTTCCTTATAATTTCCTTAAGACTTATTTTCTCTAGCTTACCGTATTACAAGAATACAGTATATTATACACATAACATACAAAGTATGTGTAAATCTACTAATCATGTTCCTGGTAAGACTTCTGGCCAAGGGTAGGCTGTTAGTAGTTAAGTTTGGGGGAGTCAATAGTTATACATGGATTTTTGACTGCATGGGGGTCAGTATTCCAACCCCTGCATTGTTCAAGAGTCAACTGTATACTCATGCCCCATTTTCATTGATTTATCCTGTCTTTCCTTCCTCTTTCCCTTCATCCTTCCTCTCTTCTCTACTCTCCTTTCTCTTACAAAAATAATCACCTTTACCGCATGAATTATCAGATTAAATACATTCCTTTGCATCTTGCTTTATCGCTTACTAAAATAACCTGGAAATTATTTGTTCACTGAAATATCCCTCTTTTTATTTATTTTATTTTTATTCATTTATTTTTTGCAGTGGCATAATACTCCATCATGTGGCCATACCATAATTTTTCCAACCAGTCTGTAAGGGATGGGTATTTGGATTGTTTCCAATATTTTGTTTTAACAAATAATGCTACAATGAAAAATGAAGAAAGAGGAGGGAGGAGAGAGAAAGGGGTGTGTCTTTGCAATCACTGTACTATTTTGCACTCTCAACAGCGAAGTGTGAGAGTGCCTGTTTTCATATAGCCTCCCCAACTGTATGTTTTCAGGTTTTTGAATTTTGTCAATATGACAGGTCATTGGGTATTTCCTAAGCAACCACAACCCCAATGCTGAAAACCCTGTTAAAAATGGATTCATAGTGTACTCCAAAAACTATAGAACAGTAAGGGAAGAAATTAAAGATGACACAAACAAATGCAAAGAGATTCCATGCTCATGAATTGGAAGAACAAATATTGTTAAAATGTCCACGCGATCTACTGATTTAATGCAATCTCTATCAAAATGCCAACATTTTTCACAGAACTAGAACAAATAATATTTGTATGGGACCACAAAAGACCTTGAATAGCCAAAGCAATCTTGAAAAAGAACAAAGCTGGAGGTATCACAATTCCAGATTTCAAGGTATACTACAAACTTCTAGTAATCAAAACAGTATGGTACTGGCACAAAAATAGACACATAGATCAATTGACAGAATACACAACCCAGAAATAAACCCACATGTATGTGGTCAATTAACCTTTGATAAAGGAGACAAGAATATCCAATGGGGAAAAGACAGTCTCTTCAATGAATTGTGCTGGGAAAATTGAACAGCTACATGCAAAAGAATGAAACTGGACCACTTTCTTACACCATACACAAAAATAAACTAATGGATTAAAGACCTAAATGTGAGACCCAATACCATAAAACTCTTAGGAGAAAACATAGACAGTAATTTCTTGACATTGGACCGAGCAACATTTTTCTAGATATACCTCCTCAAGCAAGGGAAACAAAAGCAAAATTAAACTATCAAGACTACACCAGAATAATCAGCTTTTGCACAGCAAAGGAAAACATCAACAAAATAGCAAGGCAAAATACAGAATGGGAGAAGATATTTGCAAGTGACATATCCAATATGGGGTTAATATCCAAAATATATAAAGAATTTATGCAACTCAGCACCAAAGAGTCCCCAAATAATCCAATTAAAAAATGGGCAGAAGACATGAATAGACATTTTTCCACAGAAGACATACAGATGGCCAACAGACACATAAAAAGATGCTTAACATCATTAATCATCAGGAAAATGCCTATCAAAACCACACCATCACTTCACATCTGTCAGAATGGCCAAGACTAAAAAGACAAGAAATAACAAGTGTTGGTGAGGATGTGGAGGAAGAGGAACTCTCCATGCATTGTTGGTGGGAATGTAATTTGGTGCCACCACTGTGGAAAATAGTATGGAAGTTCCTCAAAAAATTAATAGAATTACCTTATGATCCAGTACTTCCACATTTGGGTATCTGTCCAAAGAAAACAAAAACAGTAATTCAAAAAGATACATGCATCGTTACGTTTATTGTGACATTATTTACAATAGCCAAGATGTGGAAGCAGCCCAAGTGTTTATTCATAGATATAAAAAAAAAAAATGGATTCACGTGCCACATGTTAGCAAAGATTATGGAGCAATGAGAACTTTCATACGCTATTGATGAGAGTGTAAATTGTAATATTATTTTGGGGAAACTCTTTGGCATATCTCCTAAGCTGAACACATGCATATTCTATGACCCAGGAGTTTTACTTTTAGAGATAGCTACCAGAAATGAATATATATTTGCATCTAAAGACATGTCTGAGCAGCATTTTCATAGCTCTAAAGTGGAAACAACCCAAATGTCCATTAACAGTAGGATAGATACAGAAATTAAAGTTTATTCATACAATAGAATACTATGCAACAATAAAAATGAACTACAGCTATAAGCCACGGTGATAAACTTCACAAACATAATAGTCAAAGAAGGCAGACACAAAAAGATACATACTTCATGACTCCATTTGCATAAACTTCAAACTGAGAAAACTAATATCTGGTGTTAGAAGTCACAACAGGAAGGAGGATGGAGCACAGGTGGGTCTTCCTGGGAATGGGTAATGTATTTCTTGACCTTGGTGGTGGTTATGTGGGTGGTTTCACTTATGAATTTCATTTACCTGTACACTATAACTTGTGTATTTTCAAGTGTAGATATATTTCAATAAAAAATTTTTCATGAATGTTTTTTTAAATTCAAACCATTTTACAGTTGAAGAAACCAAGGTTCAGAGAAATGAAGTATGTTGCGGAGGTCAGCGAAGCTGGGACTTAAATCCAGGTTTCCTGATCAGGTAGCTTCCTTAGCCCTGAAGGATCCTTTAGCTAGAAATCCTTGCATATGGGTCTTAAAGGGGCCATTCCTTTTTTTGCAAGTTTAGCACAGTGTTCATTAGACAAAAATATGGTTATTAGTAATACTTAGATATATATGTATGATAATCTTCTTACTCGGCTATCCCACAAATGCTTCTCAAATAGATAGAAGTGGAGATATATATATTTTATTTTTTTAAAGATTATATTTATTTATTTGTCAGAGAGAGAGCACACAAGCAGGGGGGAGCAGCAGGCAGAGGGGAAAGCAGGCTCCCCACTGAGCGAGGAGCCTGATGTGGGACTCAATCCCAGGAACCTGGGATCATGACCTGAGCTAAAGGCAGATGCTTCACCAACTCAGTCACCCAGGCATCCCGGAGATATATATATTTTAAAGTCGAAAGAGACCTAAAATTATTATACAAGCCCTAAGGTCATTATACAGAAATATGGAGTGTTTTATTTAAATAAGGTGATTGATAAAATAGAACAGATCAGAAAAATTTGAAACACATCTAAAATTATGTTCTCTCTCTCCCTTTCTATATATGTGTTTATGTGTGTGTGTATATAATCTCTCCAAATAGACAAATAAGTGAAAATAATTCTCAAATTAGGGAGGTAGGAATCTAGAGGAATTTTTTTCTTTAAAAAATATCCTCTAGGGGCACTTGATTGGCTCAGTGTGTTAAGTGTCTGCCTTAGCCTCAGGTCATGATCTCAGAGACCTGGAATCCAGCCGCACATAGGGCTTCCAACTCAGCGGCAAGTCTGCTTCCTCCTCTCACTCCGTCTCTCTGCCTGCTTTTGCTTTCTCTCTCAAATAAATAAAATCTTTAAAAATATCCGTTATTACCAAATTAAAATGGATTTAAACTGTATTTTTTTCACAAGTCTTTTTAATATCATTAAAAGAAGCCTGGTAAGTTTAAGGGATCTCCAACTCAGGAGTTTTACATATTCTCACTCCCCACTTCCCGCTTTTTCTTCTTGCTCTA